GTATTTAAGTTTTTTTTTTTTTTTTTTTGCCAGGTTTCCTGTTATATGGCTGAAGGGATAAATTTGTCTAAGAAAGGAAACAAATGCTATTTCAGTGTTCCCCCCCCCCAGATAGAACATTTTAAAAAGTAATAATTAACATAATTTAAAAATAGTATTTTGTCATTTCATAATGCAGGTTATAGTATATTAGGATCTTTGTATCCAGACTGTTAAAACAATCACTGAAACTTAATACACTCAAAGTAACCAGTATTTTTCTAGCCTCACAGTGACCAATGTTGGTGGGATCCCTGAATTGTCACCATGAAAGCAGGGAATTCAAGATGTGCTTTCTCCCTGGGCTTCCTGGTGGGCAGCTGCACCTTGTACGTCTTCTTGAGACAGGTGTGGTTTGAGAAGAGCTTCAGCTGGAAGCTTGATGGCAAGAGCAACCCTGCTCCACTTGGGCCTGAACAAACCACCCCCGACCTTACCTGGAAAGTGGAAGGATCTGCCCTGATCAACCTCAAACACCCTCACCAGCCAGGTGCTGCAGCGCCCTCTAGTGCATAATTTATGTTACATACATTAATGAGTGTAACATGATATATAGCACTGTCTGCAACATAATAGCTGATGCAAAGCTTTCACTTTATAAACACTTAATTGAGTTTTCACTGGACAATATTGTATAAAAGTGTATTTTGTAGTCACAGTAATGTGTTAAAAGTGCACTAAGCAACTTTACTGGCACATAGGCCTACTAGAGCAGCATAGCGGCAATATTATGCAAAAGCGTCATGTTTTTAGTTACCAATGCCACTGTATTCACAGTCAGCCATGATTAATTTATCATGCAAAAAAAAAAGTGTCCGATTACAGGGGTGTTACTGAGTTAAAGAGAGGATTAGGATGGTTGTTGGTTAATGACTTGATGCTTGTTTTGTAATACACACACACATTATATATATATATATATATGTGTGTGTGTGTGTGTGTGTGTGTGTGTGTGCGTTTGTGTGTATTACAAATATATAATAATAATAATAATATTTTGTTTAAAAAAAAGATTGGTTAAGATTTAAAGTTACAAGTAATTAGTTTTTAGGGCTGCACTGTGATCCTTAAATAGAGTCTTTTAATGTCATTTAATTATTCTTGTTCTAAATATGCCTGACAAGATGCAAAACACACAATGCAAAATATTTAATATAAAAAATAAAGTTTGTTTAAAATTGATTATTGTAAATGCTATAAAAGTTCTTCAAAACCACATGTAAAATAAAATAGCTTTTATTAAGCTACTGATAGGTATACATAATTTTAAGCATATTTTTCAAAATTACTGTTGTTTTCTGTATGTGTAAAGCTTTTTTAATTTTTAAAATGCAACGCTTACAGAATCACTACAATATAAAGTCTCTAATGAATATAATATTTTGTATTGTATTAAATTGCAACATAACTATGAAATTTGTTTTAAATACACAGGAGAGGACAGTCACATCGCAGATGAGCTGTTTGAGAAAGTGCGTATCTTGTGCTGGGTGATGACAGGGCCTAGTAATCTACAGTCAAAGGCTCGGCATGTGAAGGCAACATGGAGCCGTCACTGTAACGTAGTGCTATTCATGAGCTCTGAAGAAGACCGCAGCTTCCCCACAGTGGGCCTTGACACAGGAGAAGGCCGCGACCAGCTCTACTGGAAGACCATTCGTGCTTTCCACTATGCTCTGAAGAACCACGGCGATGAGGCAGACTGGTTTCTCAAAACCGACGATGACACGTTCGTCGTTGTGGACAACTTGCGCTGGGTCTTGTCAAACTACACGGCAGAGCAGCCCATATACTTTGGAAAGAGATTCAAGCCGTACGCCAAGCAGGGCTACATGAGCGGTGGCGCAGGTTATGTGCTCAGCAAAGAGGCCCTGAGAAGGTTTGTGGAGGGTTTTAGCACTAAAGTGTGCACTCATACCACCTCAGTAGAGGATCTAGCGATGGGTCAGTGTCTGGAGAAAATGGGGGTGGTAGCAGGGGACTCCAGGGACACACTGCAACGCGAAACCTTCCATCCTTTCATTCCTGAGCACCATCTTACAGGAAAGTTCTCCAAGACCTTCTGGTACTGGAACTACTGCTTCTACCCAATTGTAGAAGTAAGTCAAACACTTTGATTTTTTGCACAGTTACACTAGCGTTCAAACGTTTGGGGTTGATACGTTTTTTTTTTAATGTTTTTGAAATAAGTCTTTTATGTTATCAGTTATTACACTTCAAAATAACGGTTTTCTATTGTAATTCTGTATATTTTAAAATGTCATTACTCCAGTCTTCAGTGTCACATGATCCTTTGGAAATCATTCTAATATGCTGATATAGTGCTTAAGAAACATTTTTTCTCCTTCTTATTATTATTAGCAAACTTAATAGTTAATAGTGCTTAATAGTTTTGAGAAAATTGTAATACATTTTTTTTCAGAATTCTTTGATTAATATGAAGGACAGGATTTATTTGAAATGGAAAACTTTTGTAATATTATAAATGTCTGTTCTGTTACTTTTGATTACTTTAATGCAAACTTTTGAATGGTAGTGTAGAATAAAATATGCACTCATTGTAATTTTTCCTAAGATATTCTATGTCCTTTGTGACATTTCTCTACATTCCACAGCTTCCGTCTCCTACACACAGGAAGCAAATTAGTTATTACTTTGGTAATGACAGAAGTTAAACTAATCTTTTGAAAAGTTTTAAGCACTTAAGTACCATCTATGCCTGAGAAGAAAAAACAATTAAAGTGTCAAAAGCAATTTTCCATTCAAGTAAGTATTTTGAGTATGAATAAAAATCAACAACATTGTTTGAGAAATATACTTTTAGATTGAAATGACCTTATAATTTTAGCCCTCTCATTTTTTTAAATGCCACACTGAACTAGAAACTCCTTCAGGTGATTGCAAGTGAAACCAACAATGGATAGGTTTGATGGGGACAGCATTTGTCAATAGTTTTTCTTTCATGTACATGATGTTGTGTTGTGTCTAGACAGCTAATGACACAATTTTGTCCTGTCGTGGTCATCAAAGTGGCAACAAGAAAGGATACGAATGCTATTTCAGAGTTTATAAAGTTAGTATAAAAAACAAGTATGATTAGGAATAGAATTGTGCAATTTCTTTCAGAAAAATTCCTTTTTAATACAAGTTAAGCTCAATCGAACAATGTTAATGACAGAATGACATCAAAGCAAAAAAGAATAAATCAGTTTATAGATAAATATCTGTTTATCCGTTTAAAGAATAATTGGTCGTTTATCCAATGCACCTATCGCACAGGTGTGAGAGGGTAATTGTTGATTAATGACAGAATGACAAAAAAAACTTTTTTTCTTACATTTTTCTTTTTAAAAAAGCAAAAAACAATGTTATATTGAAGCTCTTACAATAGAAGTAAATTTAAGATCAGAAATGCAAAGCTGATTATTTTTAAAGTGCTTAAATTACTCTTCCGTTAAAACTATTTTTTAAGCTGTAAAGTTCTCTTTTTGGTCATTAGCAATTAAATTTTAAACTTTAATATAACTGGATGCATAAAAAGTTAGCAAGTGATTTTTTTCCACACTAAAAATCATATTAACATACATATTATTTGTCTTATGGCTGCATTTTAATGTTTACAGATTGGCCACATTCATTTCAATTAAAAGTGCCACACTGTAAGCCAGATTTTTGCTTTTTTAAAGAAAGGGTGGACAAGTCAAAATTAATTTTCATAGTAATCAACATTATGACACAAGTGCTGTTGATTGAGCTTAACTTGTAATGAACCTAGAATATTCCTTTAATGCAAACTATCTGCGATCACATGGCAATGTAACAGACCAGCATCTCTTATATTAGTTTTTTTTTCTCTACAGGGCCCACAGTGCTGCTCTGACCTAGCTGTGTCTTTCCACTACGTAGACCCTGAGCTAATGTACACTCTTGAGTACTACACTTACCGTCTGAGGCCATATGGCTACCGACACCGCTACCAGCCTCCAGTGCCTGCTGTACTGCCTTTAGCTTCCCACACTGGGAAACCTACCACAGAAGCTCAGAGATTAGATGAGCGTGTTAATGAAAAGTCAGTTCCAACAAACACCATGAATCCCAGAGCTGAGAAAGTGAAGACTACTGGAACAAGTCACAAAGTCACAAATGCTGCCCAGGGGAGAAACATAACGGACAGAAGCACTGCATGATTGTTAACATGATTGTTTCTTCTTGTATAAATACAAAATGAACGCATGTAGCATTTTGAATCATCCAGACTGTGTACTGTGCAAATGGAATGGTGTAGTGGTTACAGGTCTGGGCTAATAACCAAAAGCTGTAGGTTCAAACCTTAACAATGAACAAATTTCGTCCTTATTGCTGTTGATCAGGTAACTTGACTGGTTGTGCCAGTAATAAGCAGTGTTGGGGAGTAACTAGTTACATGTAATGGCGTAACGTAATTTAATTACAAAATAAATGTAACTGTAATCAGGTACAGTTACTAAGAAAAAATGTGTAATTAAATTATGGTGAACCCGGAAACACCAGTCACTATTGTCCACAAGGTGGCAAGTCTGGGAGGGGACCAACTCCACCACAGTGTATAGTGGAGTCAGCTGAAGTTACAGAGAAAGACTTGGGAGGTGCAGTACAGAAAAGCCCAGGGCCCTCGTTGATTATATGTCACACAGCAGAATGGCTGGCTGATGAGACCACTGAAAAATTGAAGGATAGTGCTTTTGGGGATTGTCTCACTGTTGAGGTGAAGATAGCCAGTGTCAAGACCAAGTGCCTCTTAGATACAGGGTCAGAGGTGTCCACTATCTCCGAGTCACACTTCAGACAGCACTTTGGGGAGCAAAAGCTAAAGTTGTCCTCTGCATGCTGGGTTAAACTGACAGCGGCCAATGGACTAGACATTCCTGTCTTAGGTTGCTTACAGGCTGATGTAGAAAGAATTAACTTGACGGAGCTCAAACTCAAAACACACGGCAGCAACAAACAGGAAGTGACGTTAATTTGTTTAATATATACTTTCAATATAATACATATTAAAAAAATGTTAATTAACGAAAATTAACGATGATTTTACTATAAATCCAAAGACAATGGTTACTATTGTTAAACCATGGTAACCACAAATTAACTATGGTTTTTGCTACACTATCCATAGTTTAACCATGGAATTTGTAGTAAAAAATAAATACAAATGGTAATCCATTTGCCAAAAAAAAACATGGTTACTGTACTTTTACTAAAATAAAAGCATGGTTAATTTTTGTAAGGGAAAAACATGACTCATGTTCAGTATTAGGATTTTTCTATAAAGATATTGTGGTGATGTACTAATTTTGACATGTATAGGCAATTTGGAAAGTATAGTTTTGTTAAATCTTGAGTATTAAATGTGAGAGATAGTTATCAGGGCAAAATAAAGAGACTGAAAAGAACAATGGAGGTGAAGGTGCAGTTCAGGAGATAACTTTTAATTATTTTGCATGTCCCCATCCTAAGGATTTAAACCTTTTTTTATGTGAGGTCCATACAAAAAATAGGGTTGTCCATGTTTCAGAATTTGTTGTGGGTGTATGAGCGTGAGATTTCCCGACCTGAATTTTTTTTTCCCAGTCCGCCCCTCGTGGAAATTAATGGCACAGACATGCGGTTTCATTTACTACACATGGGCCTACTGAAGCTCGTGGTGTTTTCAGCCTCTGCCACCTCAATATATGAGTACATAAACATAATCTCTAGAACTGCTCTGAGTCACTTCATGAGCATTTTACTTATTTTGAAAAAACTATCGTCATATCATACCTATTACATTTTAAATAGGGTAACTTGTAATCTGTAACCTATCACATTTCCAAAGTAACCTTCCCAACACTGGTAATAAGTCAACTGTAAGTCACTTCGAATAAGTGTTTGCTACTCCACGGATTTGTTAATACGGTCCCTGCTATTTTAATAAATTATTTTGCTGCCTTCTAGTCTGAGTACAGTGAAAGTGTCTGATTCACAAGCCATACTTCATCATATATTATGGCCAAAGTACATGAAGGACTTCGATAGTTTTATATTTCAACAGTGAGACAAAAATGAAAAGCAGAGTTTCATATGATGTTTTTTTGGGGTTTCTTTAACATTTCTTTACTTGGAAAGTTTAGATGACCTTATTTTTGTTGTGTTGTCTATGACTGTTACATTACTAAACTGTTTCTTTAAGGACATGCTGTGCTTTAATGATCTACTGATATCCAAAGCACTAACACTCAAACTTGAAGTATTAGTCACTTGTTAAGTATTAGTATTAGTTGACATCAAGTTAAAATACATATAAGTTTGATGTGCGTAATTATATACGCAGTTGGTCATGAAGCCTCTGTGTTTTGGCAAATGTAGCAAATTATTGCTGTACAGTTTTTTGTGGGGTCAAAGTCATTATATTTTATGCAGTTTTGAACGTTTAAGTAATAAAAGATTGTGAGATCAGATAGATAATTTTTTTATTTACAAAAATCATGTTTTATACATTAGACAGCAAAAATAACTTTTAATAAACATTGAAATGCTGGTGATGTAAGTGGATATGCAAATGTGGTAATATATCTAGGTAAATGTATAATCTGCAGTACAATGAAACAAATCACACCATAAGAAGAAATGTTTATTTGATTCATCTTATATAAATATTTTCTTTTGCTCTATCACTTTTGTAAAAAATTATGACTTTCTGTTGTTGCTCCAAAGAAATGTCTTGAAAAGAAGCTGTCATGATAGGGTGGGATGGACGATTCACTGGATATTAAATAATTAATTTGCCTATAACCCACGACGAAACCTGCAACAAATTGTAAACAAACAAAATAAGTATATATCTATTTACAAGAATAGCCAGTAATTTTGGAATAATAGGCAGACATGCTTTAGGAACAAATGTGGCGTTAGAAAGATAAGTGTTGTAATAGCTTCAGAAAGCCTACAGATGGCAGAACAGCTTCACTGAATTGCTCACCTTAGTTTGCATTTGTTGAAGAAGTTGCCTCCTCTTGCGCCTGTTTCTGGATAATCTTTCCTCCATGGACGCCCAGTTTCTGACAACACAAATACAGTAAGTCTGAGATGCTGAACAAATATCTGATAATGTTAAGCTTTGATATTTGTTGAGTTTGTTATATGTTTGAGGTTTAGCCCACGCGGTTTAGTAAAGACAGAATCGTTGCAAATGTGTACATTTAACTACAGGTTTTCGTATGAACAACCAGTCAGACACTGGTTTAAGTTTCACGAACCTTAAATTAGACATGCTTCATTTCGAGACGGATTTGACTAAGTAATAAAAACTTGCAGATTTTGAGTCACCGCTTTAAGATTCAACGAATTTATTCAATAAATGATTCATCAGATTCAAATCGATAACTCGTGTGAATCATTGAACCATTGGTTCAATTAACATGCTCAAGAATCATTTGTTCGTAAACCAATTCACACTGCTCCTTCTGGTGTATATTTTGATTCACTAAAAACCGACTCATAAGAGTCATTCGCGTGAGAATCAGACTGCATTGGTCAAGCTGTATGTTTTTGATTCCCTAAAAAGAACCGGCTCATAAGAGTCATTTGTTTGTGAATCGAACTACTGTACTAGGTTTGTTTATTTCGGGCAACCCGCGAGGACGTTTTTTTCAGGATCGTGTTCAATTCATACTAAACCCCAAAAAATGATTTCGTGTAGATGTAAATTGACATCAAGACGACGGTCATCTAAAGGTAACTTATGCCTTTCACAAACGACACTGAAATAAAGAGAAAAGCTGGTAATTTACCAGGGTAAGTGCTTCGTCGACCCATGAGTCCAACAAAGATATCCTGCATTTCCCCTGAAAGACAACATATATTACGTTTTCTTAGATAATTTAAAACAGAATAGAAAGCACAAAATCCCTTCAAAATGTCTTACTTTTACGCTGAGGTGGTATATCATCTGTGTCTGGGGGAAAAATGCATTCGCAAAACATTTTAAAAACATGTTTCAGTAGGAAACTGAAGTAAAATTTATATATAATTACAACAACAACAAAAATATCTGTTCACTCACCGACGTTCCTGCGCCCCATTAATCCGACGAAACTGTCATAATCCATGTCATTATACCTCTTCAGCAAGTTATGAGCCGACAGCCGAAAACTTGGACTCTCCTGTGCATGAAATTAAGTTTTGATTATACAGCTCGGGCAAAACTATAGATTTATACCTTTTAGATTATCATAATCTGTCACTTACACCTGAAATTGATCTATGAGACTCTGACTGCTGACATCTCGATTCACTCCATCGGGTTTCCAGCACCAAAACCAAGAACAGTAACACTAGCCCACGGTACATTTTAACAGATAAGACTGAGGAGAAAATATCTCAAAACAGTAAAGCAGTTTTTTTTTCATAGCGTCCGTATTTTTTTTTTTTGCTAGACCCAGTAACATTTGAATGAAAATGAAAACAGTTTTCCTCTACCATCCTAATTGCAGTTATACATGTTTTTCTCTTACATTGGTATTTAGTATAATTTACCACTAAACCACCAGGAAGGAAAACCTTTGTTAAATCAATGAAAAAACATACATTAAAATAAAAAAAATCTAAAACGATACTGTAAAATTGTAACATGAAATACATTTTACAAGGTATTGTACTTACCTAAGCTGAGGATAATGCTATGTGGAAACAGCTGAGTTACAGTTTGTGGTCGAGGAGTTAAATCCTTTTGTGATGGACTCTCAGACAAGAGACACAGAGACAGGGATTCTCTCCTGTCTGATTGTTAATGATAGCAACATGTGAGTAAATCCAATCTGATGTCGCAGTGTAGGTGTGGTTTAAGGGTTTGTAGTCTGCATCAGTGATGACCACGCAATTGAGATCCTGACATCAGAGGCGTGAGGCATTCCTTAAAAGTAGGGATGCACGAAAGTATATAAAAATTTGGATATAGATTTATCGGCCAACATATCGGTTATCGGCTTTCAAAAATAAAGAATTATCAGTTATCGGTATCGGCCAAAATGTTCATATCGGTGCATCCCTACTTAAAAGGACAAACCATAGCCTATTTTTGTCAAACCCCTTTCATCAGTTACTCAGATTTTAATTCTTGCAACTTTAATCTCATATACAGAGTACCAGGCTTGAATGAAAACAGGTCTTTCGCATCTGTGAGTCAAACTCAAACATTTGCGTGAGAGCATGTCTAAATGTCATGTTTGTTGACTCATTAAGATTATGCTGATATCTATCTGAATGCTACTTTTCTCTGCCAAGTAGGGCCTTATTGTTGTATTTTCCTCCTGATTGCCTCATTGGTGCTGTCACTGGCGGGCATG